GGATTCGTGCACGGGCGGCCCCAGGCGAGCGGACACCGCCGGCCCGGAGGATGGGGGAACATCCCGGGGAGCCCCCGGCACCGCCCCCGCGCGGGGCCCGACCTCGCCCCCCGGGGCTGCAGAGCCTCCTGGCCCCCGCCCCCGCTCACCGGGCTGCGCCGCTTCAGCGTCACGTTCTTCCAGAGCAGGAGATGGAGCTGATGCAGGAACCCCATGGCCGGGCCGGCCCCGCCGCAGGGCCGCGCCGCGCTCGGCTCCGCCGTCACCCGCTGCCCACCGCCATCCCCGCCCGGCCGCCGCCTCTGCCCGCAGCGGGCTGCGAGGGAGCGGAGCGGCCTCGGCTCCGGCTCCGGCTCCAGCCTCGGCCCCACCGCGTCGCGCCCGGCCCAGCCCTGCGCAGCACCAGCACCGCCCCAGCCCGCGCCGGCCGCCCCTTAAAGGCACCGCCGGGCCCGCCCGCACCGCGGCGGCACAGCCGGACCGGCCCCGGGGGATCCCCGCTGGATCCCCGCTGGATTCCCGCTAGATGGGCGGGCCCGGCCCGGCTCCTCCCGGCAGCCGGGTCCTCCGTGCGGCCGGTCCGGAGGGGGAGTGCTGCATCAGGTGCCGGGAAACCCTCGGTCCTCCCGAGCCGCCCCGGCTCCCTGCAGCCAGACTCAGGTCACCCCCGCGCTTCTGCTCCCCGTGTTCCCCCAGGACAGGACGGACTAGCCCGTGCCTGCAGACTCTGCGTCCAGGGTGCCCCTGCTTCTGCCTGACCCCTCCCACGGGCACGTGCTGGGGCATCCAAAAGTGTTTTTGGAGGGAACAACCTGCTGCCACAACTGTCCACTGTCAGCTCTAACGCCAGGGCTGGAAAGGATGCCCTCAGCAGCAATAAACACTGCCAGGCTAGCTCTCCTCTTTCCTCCCATCCACCCTTACTTCCCTCTGTCCTTCCATCCATCCTTTCTTCCTTCCATTCATCCATGCTTCCTCCCATCCATGCTTCTTCCCATCCATCTGACCTCCCATCCATCTGTCCTCCTGTCCATCCTTACTTCTATCCTTTCTTCCTTCCTTCTTTTTCTCCCTCTTTTCCATCTTCTCTCCCTTCCATCCATCCTTGCTTCCATCCATCCCTCCATCCTTCTTTCTCTCTCTCTTCCCATCACTCTGGTTCTCTCCATTTCCCACCTGTCCCTCCCTCTTCCTGCTCTCCACAGCCTCCTCTCCCTCTCCTGTCTCCTTCCCTCCAAGTCTCTGTGATCATCTCTTTTCCAGCCAAGTTCAGCTGGGAGCAATGAATCGCCCTCTGGCTGCCACAGACTCAGTGGTGCTGCAAAGGGTGCCCTGTGCTCAGGGAAGGCCCTTCGGCAGCTGCACAGCTCTAACAAAAGCTCTCCTTGTCCTACACAAAGTGCCATTATTCCCCAAACTTCTGGGTGAAACACTGTGCTGAGGCGCAGGAGGATAAGGGATGCAGCAGTGGAGAGGCACCCTGCGCCCAGCTCTGTGCCCTGGGGAGGGTGGCTAGTTTGGGAGGGTTGCTGGGTGTGCAGGCAGGGGTATGGGCAGAGCTGCCCAGAATAAAGAGGAGCTGGGCTTTTGGTGGGTCCCTGGGAAAGGAGAGAAGCTGTAACCCTTGGCTCCCTGCAAGGCATTGCGTGTGGGTTGTCCCCAGCCCACACGAGAAACATCTCAAAACCCCCGTCCTGCAGCAGAGTGATTCCCCAGCTTAGAAGGGTGCAGGGGGGACTCCATAGGTGGATCAAAGCCCTGACCTGGATCTCCTGCTCCCTCCCTCCTGCTGCCCCTGTGTGAGTTTTGGGGAGCTTCTCTTCCCTACTTGGCATGACTACCAAACCCTCTGCAGGGCCAGCAAGGCACAGGCACAGCCCTGGGAACAGCATCCTCCATGGACCCAGGACCTGAAGCCTTGGGGACATGGAACCCTGAGTACCTCTCAGGGGACTTCTTTTCGGGGTGGCCAAGCTCCTCTCGCTGTGTGGGGTCATCTGCGAGTGGCAGTACCCCCTCCCCCACAGTTCTCTGCTCTGTGCTGGTGCTGTCTTATGTTCCCCATGTGTGGTCCCATGGCCTGGTTCCTGGCCCTGATCTCTGCCCAACCCACCCAGGCAGTGTTGGTCCTGCTCCCAGCCTGGCTCAGAGACTCACGCTTTGGGCAACAGGGTGAAGGTGTCTGGACCCACTGGCTGCAGGTCCTCCTGGGGCATTGTCTCTGCTGCCAGGGTGTCCTGAGGCAGCACCTGCAGGTAACAGCTCCCTCCTTCTCCAAAAGACATCCTGAATCCCCCAGTGCTGTCTGTGGAGGGGAATGGCCCTAGCCAGTGTGGCCCTGGGCCCTCAAGATATGGGACAGCAACAGGATGATGCTGAATATTCCAGCCAGGCAGAGACTGCTGCCCACAGCTGACAGGGCTGGGCTAGCCCAGGCTGGGAACGGTACCCACAGATTGTGGTATCTGGACTCTCAGTCATGCAGTGGAAGAAATGCAGAAAGAGTGAGAAAACATGACAGGAAGCTGGGGACATGGTTGCAGAGGAAGGAACACCCTGCCTTGGGGCTACAGTTGGCCTCTGAGGGATCCTGGGGTGACACTGAAACCTCAGAGCCCCACTACGCCCTGGCACGGTGACACTGCACCATGCCCAACAGGGATCCCAGGACCTGGCAGCAGGCAGGTCTAGTGGTGTAGACCTCAGGGGCATTAGAGCAGCCCAAGAAACCCCAGGGCAGTCTTGTTTGGGGTCTTGTTCCCAGCTCTGTGTGCGCCAGGGCAGAGGGCATACCCCTGCCAGCTTCAAGAACAGTGCTGCACACCTTGATAGTCCCCTCCTCTGAGGAGACTGAGCCTCTGCCTCAGTTTTGCCATTTCATTTTGCCTGCCAGGGCTTTCATGGAGACTTGGGTCCTGGACAGCAATGCCAGCAAAGAACACAACTGAGCCAGACTGGGAGCAGGGCAGGATCAGGGCCAGGACCCAGGAGACAGCTTGTGCATGCGCCACCGAGGCTCACACGTGCCCACTTCCCCTTTTGGCAGGAAACATCCCAGGCAGGGCAATGCCCAGGGCTCAGCAGCACTGTGAGGGTGCTGAGGCTGCATTCATTGACAGTTTCAGGATGAGTCAGTGGGAGTTAGAGTTGGGCTGGCATCCTGTTTGCAGCCAGGCTGCAGGTGGCAGATGGGTGGCACCTTGTCGAGGCTGAGGGTGCCTACCCTCACACAAATCTATGGGGCACATGCTCAGCCATGTAGCACCCATTCAGCCACAGGACACACACAGTCATGAGGCCCTCATTCAGCCCCAGGGCACCCAGCTTGTTCTGGGATATGCATCCACCATGGGGTGCCTGCTCAGCCAGAGGGAACACACCCGGTCATAGGGTACCCACTCCGCACACAAGGTACCCACCTGGCCGTAGGGCACCCACCCGGCTGTGGGCGTGTACCAGCCCCTGGGGTGGCGCAGGGGAAGTGCTGGGAGCGGGCTGTGCCAGCTGCCACATGGGGCAGGAAGGACCCGCCATGGGGTTGGGACAAGGCAAAAACCACAGAAAAGAGGAAGCCTTTGAGTGCCCCAGCCCAGTGCGGCAGCGCCCAGGCAGACGCACCTGGCATCGCACACACCTCCATCCCGGTAAGTCTGAGTTCAGCATCACTGACCACCGAGGGGAGAGGGGCTGAGAAATGGGAGAGCCCCTGGCACTGCTAAAGTAGGGGGTTCCCTTTCAGGTTCCCAAAATGGGGGCAGCATCCCCACTGCTGGGGAGAGAGACCCACAGCACTGATGTGCAGTGCAGGGAACCAGCAAAGCTTTCCCAGCCCTCTCTGCTTCCCATGCCAGGTTTGTCTGGAGCCTAAACTTAGCTTGGTATATTTTAGCAGGACAGATGGAGCGGGCCAAGGCAAGGAAGGGATTTTTTTGCAGCCAAGCTGCAGTGCTGGGGTGGGTGGGAAAGTAGGGCACTGCTTTCCAGGAGATTCCAGTACTGGAGGAATGGGCACAGCCCCAGCTGGAACTGGGGTGCAGGCAGATGGGCACTGTAGCAGGGTGAGTATCCCACAGCTGGAGGGCCCATGTGCCTGTGGGCTGAGCCCCATCAGTGGCAGCCCCAAGTGCTGCACTATCCTCCCTGCCCACACTGCCCCTTCTGTCCTTTTTGTTCTCACTGCTCTCCCTGCCCTCCGTGCCTGCACAGCGGAGCGCTGGCCATCTGTGACATTCTGAATATAAAATATGAGTGTTTGGGGCACTGAGGCTACGACCTTGCAGCCTGCTGGGGGTCCTCATGTCCTCGGGGGCTGGTGATAGTGCCCTGACTTGGGAAGGACACCTCGAGCTTGGGGATTGCCTTGTCATTTTTGCTGGGGCACTTCTTGGGCAGGACACTCCAGTCTGGCCCTGAATGGAGTTTCAGACTTCACAGTCAGTCCCAGGGACACTGTTTTGCAGCTGGGGCCTCACTGTGGGGTTATTTAGCTGGGACTGGGATCTTCCTCCTTGTCCTTTGGTGCACAGCTGCAGCAAGGCTGGCTGCATATCAGGTTTGACCTATTTTGGACAAGGTAAGAAGTGAGAAGTGGGACCATGGCTACATGTCAGGTGGGGAAACTGAGGCACAGAGCAAGCACCAAGGACCTCTTGTGATGGGCAGTTGGGCTGGACAGGTGGGGCAGCGGGCACAGGTGGCTACTTCCCATCAGCTCTGCACCTTCTGGCAGTATCTGTGCTCCCTCAGACACCAGGGACCATGGGAGGGAGAACAAAGACCACCCCGGGGTGACACCAGGTGTGTGGGGAACCCTGTGGTATAGGGGAGCAGACAGTCCAGGGGTGATGTTGAAGCCCGGGTTTCATGGAGAAGCCCTTTCTCTGACCCCTCGGACCCCAGCACCTCCCCATCACCTCTTGCCCCTGGCAAGCTGAGACGATGGCCATTGGTGGTCTCTCCTCTTTCCCAGGTGTCAGCTCTGTCACCTCAGGAGGTGACAACCATCCTGCCAGCATGCCCCGGGCATCACCACTGCCATGGTCACCGTGGGGCCGGCCTGGTGTGAAGACCTTGGTCATTGCCGGGGTGTTTGTAACTACCCTCTGGAACTTGAGGTGCTTCCTCAACCCCTCCAATGGCTCTAGAGAAGACTCCAAACACACAGAGCCACTGGTAGTGCTGGTGTGGGAATGGCCCTCGAAACAGGTCCCCAATGTCAGTGGAGACGTGTGCCATGAGCTGTACGGCATCACAGGGTGCTGGCTCACCACAGAGCGGCAGCTCCTGCACCGGGCCAATGTCGTGGTGTTCCCCCATGCCAGGCTTCAGCCTGGACAGAACAGGCTGCCCAAGGAGAGGCCACCAGGGCAGAACTGGGTATGGGTCTCCCTGGAGTCCCCCTCCAACACCAGAGCTCTAGCAGGATGGAGCCAGACCTTCAACTGGGTGATGACCTATAGGCAGGACTCAGACATCTTTATCCCCTATGGCAAGCTTGTGCCCAACCAGTCAGCCACTATGAACATCCCTGCAAAGACCAACTTGGTATCCTGGGTTATCAGCAACTACCACAGGACTCAGAAAAGAGCTGAAGTCTACAAAAACCTCTCCAGGTACCTCCATGTGAATGTATATGGGAAAGCAAACAACAGACCCCTCTGCAAGGACTGCCTCTTGCCAACGACATCCAAATCCAGGTTCTACCTAGCCTTCGAGAACTCCATCCATCGGGACTACATCACGGAGAAGCTCTGGAGGAACTCACTGCTGGCTGGCACTGTGCCCGTGGTGCTGGGGCCACCCCGGGCCAACTATGAGCAGTTCATTCCCGCAGATTCCTTCATCCATGTTGATGACTTCAACTCCCTGGAGGAGCTGGCCACCTTCCTGAAGACCATGAACTCCAGCCGCTACCGTCAGTTCTTTGCCTGGCAGAGGAGGTTCAGTGTGAAGCTTTACACTGACTGGAGGGAGCGGATCTGCACCATCTGCACCGCTTACCCCCACCTGCCCCGCGGCCGCCTCTATCCCGACCTGCAGAGCTGGTTCAACTCCTAGTGCGTGCCAGGACCATTGAGATGTACCCAGGCAGAGGATACAGGGGTGGGAGGCGTGGGAGGCCCCCACCTGCATACCAGGATGCGGGGCAGGGAGGGAAGGAAGGGAGGATCACTCTCGTCCCAACCCAGCTGTTGCCACACTGGGACCTTGAGCAACGCCCCATAACTTCATTTTGCTGACCCAACAACGACCACCTTGCCAGGGTGCTGGTAGGACCAGAGGGTGCTTTGGAAATAAATGGTATGTTGCCGCCAAGGCTGTGCCTGTGGTGCAAGGTGTGGGCAGGGCAGGGGGCTGGTGGGTGGCTGGGGGCTCCCCAACCTTTCCCCGTGATCCTCAGTGTCCCCCCAACACCGTTTCCTAGGTGCCAAAGCCCTGGTGGCAGAGGCCCCGTAGTGACATTTGCGGCTGGGGTGGAGGAGCCATGCTCAGGCAGTCCAGGGGGGCCCAGCACCCCATGGCCAGCAGGGAGCACATCCTCTGCTCTCCCATTTCCCTTCAGCACCCATCTCCCCCACCCCACTTGAATTGTGGCTGTCACAGTGAGGAGCCACAGGACAGCAGATGCTCTCAGGGCAATCTCAGTGTCAGCCAGGCAGAGGGATGCTGTGGTTTGTCACTCCCTCCCTGCTGCGGCAGGAAGGAAGCAAGCTGGTGGCCTCCGGAGCAAAGCCAGTCCCATGGGCACCCTGCACACACGCATTGCACTGTGGGGACCCTGCACCATGGCCACCATGCACACATCCTGCACAGACAGCACCCTACATTATGGGCATCCTGTATCACATACACTGCACCACCCTGCAGCATGGGCACCCATCCGGGACCAGTAGTGATGTCAGGTTTGAGTGACATGACCAGGGAGTGAGACACACTGCTCCACCCATACCTTGCTCTATGCCCCTCTGCTCAGTGATACAAACGATTTTTGTCACAAAGTTTCCCCCTGTTTTCCTCCCTGCAACTCCAAAGTCACCCAGCTCCACCCCTGCCACCCTGTGAGCCACCAGGTGCCCAGCAGGACTCAGGTCCCCCTTGGCAGAGGGAACAACCCTGCCCTGGTGCCAGCCCTGGTGGGGTGGCAGTTGAACGGGCACACCTCGCTCTTCTGACTTCTGTGGCTTCCGATTTCCGCTTCATTTTCTGGGTCAACCAGAAGTGGAGCAGGAGGGGCTGTGGGTGCCTACAGACAGGTGCTGGGTGCCCATGGGCAGGGTGCCAGGGTAATGAGATATGGGGGTCGGGGCCCCTGCCTGTCTGGAAGTAGAAAATCAGATGGTGGAGAGAAGCAAACCTCAGGGAGATGATATCCTTCTCAGCTTTCTGCTGGCAATCCCATCAGCCTCCCATACCCTTAAACTGTGCAGCTGTGACAGGGGCAGTTTCTACTGGATGCCGTGTATGGCTGTGCCCCCATCCCGCGGGCAGGCAGGGAAATATCCCTCAGTAACAAGCAGGGATGTGGAGTGGGCCAAGGGGGTCCTGCCCCACAGGGCTGGCAACCAGCCCAGCAGAGTCCCAGAGTGTTCTGTTAGCAGCTGCCTAAAGTGCCCCCACTCCAGGCAGACCTGTAGACCAAATCTGCAGGTACCAGCTGCTGAGCTGGAAGCAGGGCTTTCCAGAAGCTCCCCTACAGTCTTGGTTGGGGATTTCATTCTGCTCAGGGGAAGGTCCCTCAAGGGAAAGGGCTGAAACCGTGGGGGAGGAAATGCAAAGTCATCCCCCAGACACTCCCAGTTCCCACTGGCTCAGCTTCCAGTGCCCACTGGACTTGCCTGGCGGGGCCGGCATCACAAGGCTGCCTCAGCTGGACAGAAGTATCAGTCCTTTGTTCATCAGTGTCACACCAGCAGCCCTATGGGTGAGGACAAACCCAGCTTCCCAGACCTTCTCTCTGCCTAGAACTCCGTATCCTCCCTTAGTCCTTCCCTGTCCGTGGCAGCTGCTGAAGCAGCCTGCAAATGAGATCCCACTGCTTTCCCCTATCCCAGAAGCAGCTACAGCAAACCAGCAGTTTAAACTGGGTGAAAGATGATCCCCCCTTCACTTTTGAATCCCTCTGCTTTTGAAGGGGGAACAGCCCCGACAAGTTGGTGCCCCTCCAGAACCAAGCTGCAGCCACCAATCCTGGTTTGGGGGCCAAGCTGCAGGCAGCTAAAACCCAGGTGTTGCCAGTGTAACAGGGACATGTCCATTCTCTTTGGATGCCTTGGTCCATTGTCACTGTGCCCCCACATGCAGCCAAACATGCACTGCTGGGCTGCAGGAGCAGGGATGCAAGTGAGGCAAGGAAAGGGTTAACTCATTCTTGCCCTAGAGAACTCAGAGATTTATTTCGCTGCCGGGGGAATGTGATTAAGAACAGAAAATATAAAAATCATCATTAACTACAGCAGGCTGGAAGGCTTGGGGTGCTAGCAGCATGGACAGGGCGGTCCCCTGGGCTGGGATTTCCCAGGAAAAGGTGGTTTCTGGGCAGCCAAGCCAGGCTGGGGCAGAGGACAGTGGCTGGAGAGTGAGGAGGGCCCAGGGGACTGAGGGTCTTCAGTCCCATTTGCCCAGTTTGTGCTGGGCACAAGCACTGGGGAGGACACCCCTGACCCAAACAGGCCTCACCAGCTGACCCCCAGAGGGGTGAAGCTCTCCTGTGCCACAGCTCAAGGGGCAGTGGGGTCTTAACTCCACCCCTTGCCCCAGACCTCAGCTCACCCTGGCTGACCAGGAGGGTGGGCAGAGCCACCAGGGCCCCTCAGCCCCGGGCATGGTGTTCCAGCCCTGCTCTACATGACAGGGAGGAGACACCTGGGAAACTAGATCACTACAAAAATGTTTGCTTTTTAGAAACTACAACAAAAACCGTTTTAAAAAATAATAAAACCACCCCCTTCCCCTCCCCCCCCCCCCAAATCTAAAAAATACTTTTTTTTTGGGTCTTTCAAGAGAGCAGTTGGGCTGGGGCTGGGCGCACATGGCTTCAGGGGGTGCAGTGGGGCAGGAGCAGCTGCCCACAGGAGAGGTCAGAGGGGAGCCAATGCTGCTGTGACCAGTAAGCTCACGTAACTGGGAAGGGCTGGAAGCAACTGCAGAGAGTGAGCATCACCCCTGCGACAGGCTCCCAGCCTCTTGCACCCCAAAAAACCCCACACGGCAGCCCAACAAGAGGAAGCAGGGCTTTGCCTGCGCCAGCCCAGGGCAAAGTGGGGGCTGCCAAACCACCTGCAGTGATCCCACAGCCCCCCGTTCAGTGGCTGCTGTTGCTCATGGAGAGCCCCGGCTGCAGCGCTTGTGGGAACATCTCAGCTTTGTGGAAGGTCGGCATGTAGATGGGAGGGGAGGGTGCCAGGCTGTAGCCCTGGGACGTCACTGGGATGGGCAGGGTGGGGGGCACCAGGGGCTGGTTCATGTCGTACATCATCCCATCTGCCTCGTTGCCATAGGGCAGCAGCAGCCGTTTGCCTTTCTGACGCCGGTTGCAGAACCAGACCCGGACCACCTGCAGGGAGGGAGACAGAGATGGGTGAGGGGGTGATCCCAGGTACTCTGTGGGTGACGAGGAGATCCTTCTACTGGTGGCACCTCCACAGCACCCCATATTGCCAGTGCAGCCCCCTCCTTGCCATAGCTCCTTCCTGGTCTGAGCCCTGACGGACTCCAGCCAGGACCACTTTTCCACTGCTTCCAGAGCTGAGAGAAGAGAGAGGGAACAAATGGTAAACAGGAAAGAAGATAATGAATTGAAAGAAAGGTTTCTCTCCAAAGGCCAGTAGCATTATCAGATGAAGTCAATATGCATTTGTGACTGGAACTTGTGTATTGTTTCTAAGTTGTGTTTTGTTGGTCTTCTGGTGCATTACCACTTCCAATGAAGAAAAAAGTTTTCACTTTCCATGTGTGTTCTTGGGGGCAAAATTCAGCTTGTTCAGAGATGAATTAGTATCAAAGGATTACTTTTATATATTATGTGCATATACACAAACACAGATGGGTGTTGTGTTGGGTCTGGGAATTATTTTTGGCACTCTTAAGTTTTAAATACTCCATCTGTGAACGAAAGTCTCCTTTGGAGCCAAGTGTGGTTTTTTTTTTTCATATATAATATAATGGCCAGTCTTCGCAAACGAAGAACCGGGAAGGTTTTTACACCTTCCAGCCTGCACATTGGATTTTTTAGGTGAGACACAGTGTGCGCGGAACTGAGCCCACCCTTTAATCCTGAGGTTCATCTGCTGGGGCCAAGCGAGCTTGGACGGTGGCAGCGAGGTCCTCAGGACGTAGATGGATTGCCTTACAGGGCTAACGAGCTCCATCTGCCCGGGGAGGGGCCCCGACCGGGAATCGAACCCAGGCCTCGGCGGTGACGGTGCCGCGTCCTTAACCTCTAGACCACCAGGGGCTCCCATCAAAAATGACTAATCCACTTTTTTTTTTTTTTTTTTTCATACTGTTCAGCTATACCTCAGAACTGCTCACTTCTGCTCTGAGACAAAGTCAACCTACATCTTTATCCAGGTTGAGGTCCTCAGCAATCTGGGAGATCTCCTGGGGATTGGGCTTCACGCACTTGCGGAAGAAGCTCTCCAGTGTCCCCTTCACGTTGGTCTCAATGCTGGTCCTGCGTTTTCTCTTCCGGGCTTGGGCCAGTACTTGCTCCGCATTGCACATCTGGGAACAAGAGAGGGAACATGTTGGTCACTGGATAGAAGAGTCTCCACACCAGGTTCTGGGCACATGTGTGGCTGGTTGCAGAGCTCTGGGGACAGACTGTGAGTGTCTGTGACTCTCCAATGAGCATCACTCCACTGTGACTGGGGCCATTCCCAGTAACCCAGCCCTGCCAGCAGCTCGTGTGGCAAGGCTGGACACATCTTCCTACACCCCTGCCAGGTTCCCCAGGGAGCAGTAAGCTACACATTTACCTGGCTGTTCCAAGATGGGAGCTGCCATAATCACTAGGTATCTGTAGGGAAATTGGGTTCCCCTCAGCTTGGCAAAGGCAATACCCAGTGATATGCCCCCAAGCTGGATTGAAGCCACGTAGTGAGATGCTGCTGTGGCACAAAACACCTGTTCCCTGCTTCTCTCCCCAAAAGCATGTTGGAAATGGAGAAGAATCTGTGGCTTGAGGGCTTGCAGGCATAGGGTACCCCAACTCCCAGCCTCCCTAGCCCGCACCTCTTGCATGTTGTCCGTGTTCTCTGCCTCGTTGAGCCAGCGTTGCAACAGCGGTTTCAG